TACATCTGGCCCTCAAACACATCTAGTGCTACCGGGTTGTAAGCCGCTGAGGAACGAGAAAAATCATTTATAGTGAACACATTCTTTTAAAAAAAACAAAATAATAACTAGCTCTATTGGTGTATCAACGAGGAGAAGGAGGAGGAGGAGGATAACGGCACTGACCTATGATGATGAAGATGATGATGAGGAGGAGGAGGAGAAGAAGAAGAAGAAGAAGAAGAAGAAGAAGAAGAAGAAGAAGAAAAAGAAGAAGAAAAAGAAAAAGAAGAAGAGAGGTATCAGCCATAGAAACAAAGGAGATAATAAAGATATTACAACAGTTACTGTGGTGATGACAACAACTACAACGACAGTAGTTCTTAATCCAGCAGTGACCTACCCGTGGCCGTCACAACTACACGATCTGTCCCATCGGGCTTCATTGACTCGATGAGATTCTCCTTGCTGTCGCACCAGTACACACGACCTCCCATGTAGAAGTCAATGGTGATGCCACTGGGTACACCTAAGCGAGTGGACACAAGGACTGACCGGTGCTCGCCGTTCATCCAAGCACGCTCAATACGAGGCCGGGAAACGCTGGCGTCAGTCCAGTACATGTAGCTGCGGATGAAAACCATGGTGAGTAAAGAGAAGTACATTAATGGCACAATAAGCCCAGTACCGCACTTCGATAGAAAGGGGTACCATCTGATTTATCGATGAGATGAGGACAGGAAAAATAAGAGAAGTCTACCGTAGTTGTAGTGCAGTACCCGGTTTATGGTCTCTAACTTACTTTAAAAGGAAGGGGAAAGGCAAGACAGACAGACAGACAGACAGATGAACAGGAACAATCAAAGAAAAGAAAAGAAAAATGACCTACCAGAGGCTCTCACAAACCATCCGTGAAAACATGTGCTACTATTTCAAAAAGAATATCTACAAGTAAAAATTAACAGCATATTACCATATTATACGACAGAAGTACATATATATTTTAATTCAGAGGACTACTGCATTGGCACTGATCTTTCCACAATGGTCACTGAAGTTGCACCTACATTTTCACCTTGGAATTTTTGCAAATAGGGATGAAACAAACCAGCCACATTCCCTAAGGCTGATGCCAGATCATCACAGCTCCACAGAGTCGAATTCAATTCACATTTTAAAAAATGATTTTATAGATACCATGACAAATTCCCCTTTTAAAATTTCTGGATGCCTTATTTTTACCTCAGTGAGAGTGATGATGATGATGATGATGATGATGATGATGATGATGATGATGATGATGATGATGATGATGATGATGATGATGCACACACACACGCACACACACATACACACACACATACACACACATACACACACACACACTTATATATATATATATATATATATATATATATATATATTATACAGACACACACACACACGCACAAACACACACACACACACACACATACACACACACACACATACACACACAGCTCGTGCACGTTAATACTCAGAACACTTTATTGAACCCAGGAACAATGAAATCGAGAAAGTACAGAGAAATCTGAGAGAGAAAGTACAGAGAAATCTGAGAGAGAGAGAGAGAAATCTGAGAGAGAGAGAGAGAGAGAGAGAGAGAGAGAGAGAGAGAGAGAGAGAGGGAGACAGAAAGAAAGAGAGACAGACAGACAGACAGACAGAGCATGTGTGTGCAAGAGAGAGAGAGAGAGAGAGAGAGAGAGGGAGAGAGAGAGAGTGAGAGGCAGAGAGTGGAGGGGGAGGGATAAAAGGAGAGGAAAACAAAACCATAGAATCAATATTATTTATACAGAGATCTAAAGAGAAATAAACAGAGAGATATATATAGGCATACGTATAGGCAGATTTTTTGAAACACAGATAGAAATGACAACTTATACTTACAGATTCGAGTAGACATATAGATGCGAGTCGACAGACAGATACAAATAGTCAGACAGAACGACAGGTGGCGTGACGTAACATTTCGATAACCATGCTCACCCTGTGCCTGGATGTACTGCAATGGCTCTTGGGTAGCGCAGGTCTTTATAGATCAGAACCTTTTTGTAGAACCCATCAGCGTTGGCGACTGATATCGTTCGAGAATTGGAGTCTGTCCAGTAGATGTTTCTATAAGATGAAACAGCAGACAATTTTTAAATTGTGCTCCTGACACTTTTATACATTAATAAAATCAAATAGCATGACAGACAGACAGACAGACAGACAGACAGACAGACAGACAGACAGACAGACAGACAGACAGACAGACAGACAGATAAACAGACAGACAGACACACAGACACACAGACAGACAGACACACAGACACACAGACAGACAGACAGACAGACAGACAGACAGACAGACAGACAGACAGACAGACAGACAGACAGAATGATAGATAGATAACAGGAGGAGTAATACTTTCTGTTCCATCTCCCCTTCCTTCTCCTCCCTCAATATCTAAACATTCTCTTTCCATATGCTCCTCTCTTTGATCAAACAAATCAAGTTCAAGAGAGTAGAGTCCCATCAGAGATTTGAACTAGGACCCCCCTCATTCTAGCCCAACAAGAGACCCACTGATCTAAAGGCATGCCAGTGTCTCTTGCAGCATGGTTGTGTCTGTTTTCTTCTTCTTTAGAAAGCCTATTTAAGGGGTGATTAATAAGCACAACATAATCAACAACAATTGCAACTACAGCAGACAAGAAGAATAATATTACCGCCACCTACAACAACAAGAAGGTCAAATATCATTCCCCACAGTTTTTATCATAAGCAATCACCTCAACATCAACAACATCGAAAGAAAAATCAATAGATAACGCTATCGCTGCAAACAAACAAAAACAATAACAATAGCAACGATTACTACAAGAACAATGACAACGACAAAGATGATGAAGATGATGGCAACAACAATGACAATAAGCACGACAATGACAATGACATTAACAACGACCATGACATCAACAACAACAATGACAATAAAAACGAAAACGACAACAGCAACAGCAGCAGCAACAACAACAACAACAACAAAGACGAAGTAACGACAATGACAATGACAACAAAGCCAGCTAAGTCAACAACAGCAGATGGAGCATCGATAAATCCCAACACAACAAAACCCCTTACTTAGCTGCCCAGTCCACGCTAAGTCCTTCAGGGTGGTAGGAGTTGTAGATCTCCAGATCCTGGGCCACTGCCTTTTTCTTCTCGTCACGTGGGATTGAGGCTCTGAGACAAAACAATTCATTTATTATTATAACACCAGTACATATGAATTATCTTGTAAGAACCAGGTGGGAGGAGAGCAACAAAATGGGTGGATGTTGCTTGTCAAGGACTTGTGTGAAAGAAGTATCCCGGAGAGATCTATCTGTGTTTCAAAATTCTTTCAGAGGAGAAATAACACACATGAACATGGATGCTCTTTTGTACATTAATATGCATTATATTACATTTTCTTTTCTATAGCTTGTTCGCATTATTCTCTTAATTAATTTCCATTTGTCTTCTTTTCTCTTATCATATTCCCAAGTTTCTAAATAAACTGTTAGCAAATTATGATAAACTTATACAAAAAGAAGACAGAAGTTTCTGATTGTTTATGAGTAGGGGATAGGAGTGGAGTGTATATACAGGATAGAAGATTCAGCTTAGAGACGCTTTTATCAGGAGCACACTCTTACTCTTCCGTCTCTGAATTCCTCCTCCAAGGAAATAGTTTTGTCAGTACGTCACATACAAGGGAATACTGCCTTCGAACCCACAGAATTGCTCATAGTAGGGTATAATACATGAAGAGGACTTTTTTTTTAACATACAGGTGTTCTTATGCCCTTATTGACATGATTTAGGTCCATCAGGAGGCAGGCTTCGACTCTACCTGTCAGGGACAACCCAGGATGAGAGGGATACAATATCAAAGCAGAAAGACCGAGATACTAGATAAAAATTCTCTCCATTCAGGAAGCAAAGCACTAATTAGCAAAACACTAGACACTAGACAGACAATTTCAACGAAAATAAAGGTGTTGACTTGCACCATAAGAAGAAAGAAGTTGATTAAGATAATGTTGTTGCCTGTTCAATAATGTTTTTCTCAGAAAATAAATCGCGACCTTCAGTATCTTGCTCGGCGATTGGTATCACATAGATATCTGCAGTTTTCAAATGAAACAAGTGTAACAAACACAAGTGCAACACCTAATTAAACGCTCATACTACCATGGAATGACCTGTACATTATCCATACTGACCAGGGTTTCTTCAGTTTTGGTTAATCAAAATCCACATCATCACCATCACCATCATCATCACCATCATCATCATCATTGTAAGTAGCAGGGAATAAAAAAGGGTTGATACTTGTAGATTTTTCAAATTTAATACAGGTTCAACGTTTCGCCCGGTAAAGGGCTTCACCATCATAATCATCATCATCATCATCATCATCATCATCAGCAGCAGCAGCATCATCATCAGCAACATCCTCATCATCATCATCATCATCATCATCATCGTTGTTGTTGTTGTAAGTACAATAAGAAAAAAACAAAAAGTTTATGGATACTTAAGTATTTCTCAATTACTATTTTATGACACTTCAAAGATGTTTGATGTTTTGCCCTTTTGAGCTCCTCCAGGAATGTGATTTAAAAAAAAAAAAAACTACAATAATGCAATAAAATACATCTTTGCTTATATTGCATGATGCGCCATGGTGCATGCGTTCAAGAAAAAACCCATCATCATCATCATCATCATCATCATCATCATCATCATCATCATCATCATCATCATCATCATCATCACCATCATCATCATCATCATCATCAAAAGTCACTGCAAAGAGGCACCTCTACTCGTAAATGAAGAGCTCTGCCCACGTTGCCGTAGATGCAGCCATGAAAAGGAGGATGTCAAACATATGTTTGAATGCCCAGGAACAACGGCAATTCGAATGGAGTTATTTGGACAAGTGGAGGTGCCGCTAAGTATATTGACAAGGAAGCCGAAAAAAGAGCCTCGCTCTCGCTCGAAGAATTCTTCGTGGAGTCCGCCAGGCCCATTAAGGAAACCAAAAAAATCATCGTCATCATCATCACCGCCATTACCATCATCGCCTCTGACACCTCTGACAAAGACAACCCACTAAGCCCTGTGCTCACCTGTAGATCTTCCCCAGGTTAGTGTCAGTCCAGTAAACCAGACGCCTGTCCGCGTCGATGTCGATGGCAGCAGCCCTGACCCCAGAGCTGACCTCTGAACTGTAGTCCTTGGCTTTTGAACGGTACTGGCGGACCTCGTCACCCACAGTGAACAGTATCACAAACTTACGCTCTGTCGCACACAAACACAGATACACATACAGGAATGATGAGGTTGAAACTAAACAAATTAGCATTCATAGAGAGACAGAGATGAAGATAGATAGACAGACAGACAGACAGACAGACAGACAGACAGACAGACAGACAGACAGACAGACAAACAGACAGACAGACAGACAGACAGGTAGGTAGGTAAGTAGGTAAGTAGGTAGGTAGGCAGGTAGGTAGGTAAGTAGGTAGGTAGGTGGGTGGGTGAATAGATAGATAGATAGATAGGTAGGTAGGTGGGTGGGTGGGTGGATAGATAGATAGGCGGACAGACAGACAGACAGACAGGCAGATAGACAAACAAACAGACAGATAGATAGATAATTTAACATTAATAACATATTTTTGTCGACTATTGAGCGACAAGATGGCTTATTACAGGTACCCGAACCCTAAAACATATATTTTGGTGGTCATGTACCTTATTAACAACCTTGCACCATGTTATCATGAAAACTAAATGATTGATCTCTGTGGTTGCGTGAAACCAGGCTCACCTTCAGACTTGCACTCTGTCCCTCTGTTTTGTGGATCGGTGAAGCCGGGGTGACACTGGCACTTGAACGAACCCTTAACGTTGACACAGCTTTGCGGGCAGAAATTTCCCCAGTTGGCACATTCATCCACATCTGTTCAGAAAAAGGAAAGGGAGAATGGTCTGGTCCATGAGTTGTGTTTATACTGCATCAGCACAACAACAGCAGCCACATTTTGTCAATGACAATGACAATGATGACAATTACAATTTTTATTCATCTCTCTGGGAGAAATTTGTCTTGGTCATTAACAATGGCAGTAGACGTTACAAATGCTAGGTACACTTACGCATATGCACAACAAGTGCAGAAAAGCATTATAATAATGGCAATAAGGAAAAGAGGAAGAATGTAGAGATGGCGTAATAGTAAGTGCCAGCCACTGAGGGGAGAGGAGAAAACAATTACAGTCTTTACATATATATAAATACATAGCATAAGATCACATTTTGGCATCTTAACCACACACACACGCGCGAGTGCACACACATATAAACTTACACACACTTATACTCACAAACACAAACATGCATACACACACATAGACACATGAGGACACAAACACATATACACTGAGGAATTGTTGTACTTTTATCTGTAGTATAATAGGTAGATTCTTTGGCATTGCGCTCAGAAGAAATGAGTTAAATTTTCTTGATTTTGAAATAGTATAATAATTTTATTCTAATCAGAAAAATTGATTTATTAGAATCTAGCTGTATGCACACAGCCGAGTACATTTTTAATTGATACTCCGGTGCGTTTTTTAATTGATGAAGAAGTTGTTCAGTGACCTTGACACTGTGTCCTCCTCTGGTCATCAACACGGAACCCCTGACGACAACTGCAGTAGAAGCTGTCTGGGCTGAGCTGTGTACAGTTGTGCTCACAACCTCCGTTGTCATCCTCGCAACTCACACCTGTGCCTTTGTCTGAAAAAACGTTTAAAAAAGCTGAATACATGATGTACCCACAGGGGAAGAACAGTGAAAAGGGAGAATGCCTATGAATATTGCATTAAGCCAAAGATCGTAAATGCACAAAAGATTTTGTACTTCGATTTATTTTACCTTCTTAAGGAACCTATAAAATTGGACTGATCGTTGAGCAAAATAAATACACATATAACTGGAAATTTCTCTAATTCCGTTGTTTAGGCTGATTTTAATAAAAAATAATGTCAAATTCAGCAAAGGCCTCATAGAAAGAAATGTTGGCATTCTTTGATTAAGTATTTGCTATAATTAATCAATGTTTAATTATTATTCAATGAATGCAACATGCTGTACATCTAACCCAGTTATTTCCTGTTTTAAAAGCAACCGAATTTACACAAAGAAAACATCAAATTGTGATTAAAAGATATTTTGGGTCAATATGAAACAATTTTTCTGTACATTTCCTTGTGGAGGCTTCGTATAAGATTACAACCAAGGGGCTTCCTAGTTTTATAAAGCCTCAAAAAGGTTACTAACCCCCCCCCCCCCCCCCCCCGCGCGCCCCGCTCCTCTTGATGATGACGGCATTCTGAGTAAAGCTAAATAAAGCCTCCAGGCCAGGTTTGCTTGTACTTACGACAGCCTGCCTCGTCTGATAGGTCCGAACAGTCTGGGGCGTTGTCGCACACTTTCTTCCCGTTAATGCATTGGCCGTTGGAACACTTGTACTGATCGGTGCTGCACTCCTCGTCAGTTCGGTCACCTGGTGATTGAAACCAAGTCCACAACAAAATTATACCTTTGCCTGCATTAACACTGTGTCGTGTGGTTTTAACCAAGAAATATGACATGTTTGAAATACTAAATGGATGCTTAATCAAAATGAGAATCGGAAGCCGCTAAACCAACAGAAAGAGAATTATGAAAAGATCAACGAGTAAAATATATTCAATAAGAAAATTCTCTATTATACAGAGATAAACAAAAGTCACAGAAAAAAACACACAGGTTCTCATGTCAGTTCCTTGGTGTTCTTCAGTATTTCTATCCCACAGAGGATGAGTACGATCTCCTAAGCACACTGTGCGAGGTTCATCTGTACCTTTATATATTATAAAGCAGCACTAAGCAGAGAAAAAAAGGACAGTTCTTGTCTTTACCTCTGGAAGGACTCTTGTGCAAAGGCGTTTGAAATTTATTTAGCTTTTGAGCGATTATATCCCCCCCCCCCTTCTCTCCTGTTCCTTTCTTTCCACCCCCTTTGGTTTTCCTGCTGATAAATAAACCCTGCTTTATAAACGAATTGAGTCACTAGTCAAATCTGAGGAAAACAAGACTTGGTCAACCTTTTTACTTTCCATTTTTATCCAAGCAAAACGACTGACAAAATTTGAACTTATTGAAACAAACAAACAAAATATTGAGATAAATTTCTCACATCCTTCCTCGTCGGTGCCGTCCCAGCAATTGTTCACACCGTCACACACACGCCATGCAGGGATGCACCGAAAGTTGTCACACAGAAAGCGGTCACCCTGTGTGCAGTCCACTTGTTTGCATACCGCAGGAGACTCGTCACTTCCGTCCCCGCAGTCGTCAGCCCCATCACAGCGCCAGCTTTGAGGCACACACATCTGAGGGTTCGATAAGTCTCCCAATTATAGACTAATTTTCACCAGTATAAATGAAGGTTTTTGAGAAATGAAACTCTTAGTTCTACTTATAATTCTATAGTTTAAAACTGCACATAGCAGTATGTGCAAATGTCTTGGGGGCCCGGGGGGAGTGGGGGGGGTATAGTTTGACATTTCACATTTAAATGCAAAGCATTTTAGATAAGTTGATGGAGCATGCCTGGACCAGATGGACGGAAAGTTCGGAAAAAACGAACAACAAAAATTAACAAAAGAGCCAAATTCATTCCCCCCTTTCCCACGAAAAAAACAAACAGATGTATAACAAATGAATAAACAGTCAATAAAAGATACAATAAATGTCAAAATCAAACCCAAGCAAGAAAAAAAAACTAATAAAACAGAACAGAAGAGAATTTAGCATATTACACTAAAACAAAATATCCAAACATAATAAAATTAAGCATAAATCAGCAGCACATGTAGATTTGTGACGTACGGTGTTCTGACACTCAAACACGCTGCTGGGGCAGTGGTGGTGACCATGGTAGGTGCCAGTACAGTTGTACTCATCACTCAGGTCCAGGCAATCTCGGTGGCCATCGCACATGTTCTCCTGGTGCGTGCAGTGACCGCTGGCACACGTGAACTGATCAGGCGTGCATTTGTGGTAATCTTTAAAAAAAAAGAGAAAGAAAAAAAAGCGTTAATCAAAACGTGGTAAGAGAAAAGCATTTCACAACCCACTACTGGAACCATGCACAGTGTTGTATCCCATACTGATTCCAAAATTTGCAAGAATAATATCACGTTTCACACAGAAAACAAAATCTGTTGAGTTCTGTGCCAGTGACATTAATACCGCCACTTAAGTAGTCATAATTTGTTTTAAAAGAAAGTAACACCTTGTTCATATGTGTATGCTTTTCAGTAATCTAGACTGAAAAACCCCAGAAAAAAGCACCAGGCTTTCGTAAAAGATATTTGGGGAATAGCAAAGACAATGGTGATACTCCAACACGATATCCCTTAATTTAAGAAATATATAATATTCTGTGTGGGTAGCAGTATTGCTAGGATGCCAATCAGACTCGGAAGTAGAACAATAATAGGCCTACTATTTCAAAACTTTACAAGTTAATGCCTTAGTGGCATACACGAACCACTCTACTCACCACTACACAGAGCGTGTGACTCATCAGAGGAGTCACCACAGTCGTCGTCATGGTCACACTTGAAGCGTCCTTGGATACACTTGTTGTTGGCGCAACGGAACTCTGATTCAGAACACTTCCGATAGCTGTCCTCTGGTGATACAAAATGTGAATTGTTTTGAGACAGCAAGTAACTAAAAGATTAATTTTCAAAATCCTCAGTGGCAATTCATTAGCTTTGTGTACGTATCAAACAGCACGCTAGAATGATTGTAACTCAAAACTCTGAATTAAAGATCAAAGTAGAAAACTTTAGGTCACCACCACCAATAAAGGCTTTTCCCTGTATGTGTAGAAGCACAAAAAATGGCTGAAACACCCCCCCCCCTCCCACCCCCACCCCCCTTCCTGCCTTCCCCTTTCGTGGGTTGTGTGTGTGTATTCCATTCTTCTATGGTGCGCTGCTGGCTCATTTGACACCATGTCAGTGCTGTGGTGCAGACGGCTCCTATTTAAATCTCTGATGGGGCGTTATTGAACATTGGTCGCACGTGGAGTTTTTGAAGTTCTAAGGCTTGCCACTCACTAGGCTAGGTCCCATCGGAGATGGATATTAAGTCCAGAAGTCCTGCCTCTTAAATAATGTCAGTGTTGAAATGGTTGTTAAACGTATATCTCAAACACCTTTTTCTTCTACTCTAACTCTAAGCGTTACGTCAAATGCTCTTCCTTCGGTATGTGCTATTTGTATTACGTAGTGTGTTTAACTCATAAAGAAAAAGTAAAATCTTCCAGCGATATCCTCAAACCATTTGTCTAAACACTACTTACGACATTTTGTGACCTCCTCATCCGAATTATCCCCACAATCGTCATCAAAGTCACACATCCATCGTTTTGGGATGCAGCGTCGGTTCTGGCACCGGAAGTCTCCAGTGGAGTGACAGACTGGGCAGTTTTCCTCCTTCTCATCTGAGTTGTCCCTACAGTCGTCCTCTCCGTCACATCGTGCCCAATTGGGGACACAGCGGTAGTTGGTCTCACAACGCCACCAGCCCACCTCACATTCTCGTTGCTCTGAAAGGACCATTGGAACGGTACGGTTAATATTATTTGACTCTTTTATCTTTATCTTAGCTATGAAAAGCATAATTTCTTTTTCTGCGAAGGATCTTTTAAAAAGTCGATGGTGTTTTGTGGGTGGGATGGGTGATGATGTGATCGTGTGTGTGTGTGGGGGGGGGGGGGGGGAGTCGAAGAAAATAATATAAATAATTTCTCGTTAACAAAGAAAACGCATGAATACACACATTGTATACAATAAGTGTGTGGGTGGGAGGGTGGTGGGTGCTCTGGGGTGGTGTGCCTCTTTTTTCCTTTCAAACATTTTTCATCCTTATCTTTCCTCCTTCTTTTTTGTGTTTGTTAGTCTCTTGGAACATCTCTAATCTTCGGTACTTATATTACCTTATTGTGTTGTAAGAGCCGTCAAACTCTTACTGAAACTAGCTATTCAGTGTGAATGAAGGCTAAACGTATACTTGTATGTTTGTTTGAGTGTGTGGTTGTGTGAAGTGTGGGTTCAAAAGAAGAAGAACAGACAGACAGACAGACAGACAGACAGACAGACAGACAGACAGACAGACAGACAGACAGACAGACAGACAGGGTAGTGTAAAGACTAACAGACCAAAAGTCCTAGAAGCACTTACCACAGTTAAACTCCGGTTTTTCATCTGAGTTGTCTCCACAGTCGTTGTCAAAGTCACACTTCCAGTTGGCCTGGATGCAATTACCGTTGTCGCACTGGAACTGATTGGCTGGGCACGTCACGTTGCCTGAAGAGTGGCATTTTATTTTTATGGTTAGGGATGGGGGAAATGATTAATTGAATAGGGAGAAAGGGACGACAACAGCAAAGATTAAGCAATGAATAAAACACATTGTTACAGCTCTTGTTCAAGTGCATATGCCAAAGCTATTTATCTACAAAAAAATATGTAGATTGGAAATTTGGAAAAGTCGCCAGACTATAGGGTTCCTAAACCTGAACAAGTTCATTAGGCTCAATAAATGGCTTAGTTAACTCTCTTTATTGCGTGGACGATAATACAGGAACAAGTGCATTCTGTTCATAAACACAGTAGTCTTTTATGCTTTCTATTCTTTATCTAAAAGCCCATGAAACGTGCATTAGAGGTTATTACCAAGAACCCAGTGTACCAGCTGCTGTTGACAAGCAAATTATAGGCAATGACTGGGTTCACCTTTGGTTGGGATTTTTTAAAATATTTTTTTTTTTAATGGGGAAATGGAGGTGGAAGGGGGGGAGGTTACATGACTTTTGTGGAAAAACTCCCAATAAATTAAAATCGAGGCCAAAATATACAAAGGATCAGTGTCTCATATGAGCTTTGAGTAGCACCTACCACACTCCCTCTCATCACTGCGGTCCCCGCAGTCATCATCGCCGTCACAGGCCCAGGAGCGGGGCAGGCACTTGCCGTTGTCACAGCGGAGCTGCCACGGCTCACAGCTGTGCTTCTGACAACCCTCCTCGTCACTTCCATCCCCGCAGTCGTCACGCAGGTCACACACCTGGTAGCTGAACGTGCAGTTCTTGTTCTTGCACTGGAACTGGCCCGGTGGGCAGTAGTTGACCGCTGTGGGTTTAGAGGGAACATGAAGCTGTTTACAATTTTGTGTGTGTTTTGTGCATGTTTGTGTGTGTTTGTGTGTGTGTGTGTGTGTGTGTGTGTGTGTGTGTGTGTGTGTGTGCGTGCATGTGTGTGAAGGGAGGGGGCATGGTTTAATTTGAAGCTTTATAATTACTTCACTTACAGGCTAATTAGCTGGGAAACTTGTTTCTTACCCCTTTAGGACAGTTCCTTGGTTGCCATAAATCTATCAATCAATCTTTTAGTCAGTAATTAAACAAGCATCGAAACTATCACATAATCATCAATTCATCACTCAGCCGATCAATCTATCCATTACTACGCCAATCAACAACCAACCAATGTGACTACATACCTAACACACCACTAGTCAACCAAGCACCACCCCCTCCCCCCCTCCCCATTTATTTAATCAACCAACCATCATTCGATCAGCTCACTGAGGGTAGGTAAAGCTCGAAGTCAGGCTGTTTTGGAGCACTTTCAAAAAGAAACAAACCTCCCTTATTCCTATAGGTCTACATTTTTCAATTTTGTTTTCTTTATTTGAACTTTCAAAAGTCATGCAACAACATGCGTTATATGAAATATGCAAATTCAAGTTTATGATTTATGTACGATGATTCAAAATGAGCAACAACGTTGCTTTTGTTCGGCTGCTGATTGGACATACTATGTGTACTCTACGTCCTCAAAGAGTTAACTGTCTTTAGTGTGACTCACGGCAATCAGGAGGCTCGTCAGAACCATCCCTGCAGTCTTTCTCTCCATCACATTTCCACACACGAGGGATGCAGCGATCGTCCGTAGGGCCACATCTGTATACATATAAGGGTGTGTCAAGGAATGGGTTACGTCATGGCCTTAGAACTAAGTGAGTAGGTGGTGGGTGCTCTGGTGTAGTTTGCTCCTTCCTTTCCTATCAAATATCTGTCATCCTTACCTCTCCTCCTCCTTCTTTGTATAACACTCCCTAGTAAAACCTCTAATCGTTGGCACTTATATGACTTAATTGTGATGCAAGTGCCATGAAACTCTTAATGAAAACAAAACTTAGAACTAAGGAATTCTATCCCTCACTAAACTTCCAGACTATTTGGCACACTCTTAGATCTCAATGAGGACAGGGAAGCTGAGATGGCATGAACATATTACTCAACTAAATGTCTTGTAAAGATTATTCAATGAGAAACTGTGTAAGGACAGAGAAAATGGAGAAGACAAGGGAAACTATGAGTTGACAACATCTCTGAGTTAACAGGAACACCTTTTACAGAGACCGGAGGGGGGGGGGGGGACTGCACGTATATTATATACTTCGTACTCGAAAATCGTAAATTAATCAACTCACTTGACAACAGGATGAAGTTTCGACCCCAACACTTTTTGGCTTACCATTTTTTAAATCAGTAATTATACTAATTGAAAGTACTTTCCCCTCTTTATACTCAACAAAATAATAGCTTCAAATAAACATTCTTTGCCCGTTGAAGGTTGGGAAAAAGCCAGTCCATCACGTTCATCTATTATGTCGGCACACAGCTCTCAGCATAAATTGTCGTGATTCTGTGGAAGACTCGTCCTCCATTTCAAGATTCTCCCTCATAGAGGATCTCTTTCAACTTTCCCAGCATAAAATTCCCTAATTTATATGAGTGTTCTTCTCTATACTTTAGAGTTCGTTTAAACCGAACACATTTAATCCGAAAAAGTGGTAAACCACAAAAAATTATAATCCCCAGATTAGTTTCTCCTATTTGAGCAACCTCTCTAAACCGAAAACCCGGCTAAATTGAACAAAATCCAGCAGCCCCGCAGATTTCAATTTAATTAAAGCAGACTCCACTGTAATTCAAACTGCTCTTTTAAGATTATGATTCTCAGCTAAAAATTCAAACAAAACCACATCTATCGTGCTGAGTGCTGATGAGCTCTATCAGGAACAATTCGTGTCACCTGTACTGGTTGCTGGAACATTTGGCCTGACATGTCTGATCATCCGGCATCAGGATGAAGTGGTCTGGACAGGCACAGGTGTAGATGGAGCCGCCAGGAGCTATGAGACACAGGTGGGAGCAGCCCCCGTTGTTCTCGCCGCACGGGCTGGGACCTGGGGAGGGACAAGTGGGAAGTTGAAAGGATGGCACTCCACCAGACTGCTGGGATTCAGCAACTTCCATATATACACCTTTTTATTTATTTATTTTTAAAAATTCTTTATTAAGTTAATTTATTAATTTATTTATTAATTTATTATTTATTTGTTTATTTATTCATTCATTTATTTATTTATTTGTCTATTTATGTATTTATTTGTTTATTTATTTATTTATTTGCTGCAGGGTTTTTTACAACTACATTGACTCCACCTGCCCCCTCGTACGCAAGGAACATTTCTACACACCACGCAGCAGTAGGTATGTAAATGATTCAATTTTAGACCAATTGTCTCTCTTCACCTTCTGGGGAAGTCTAGCTTTGCTGTCGTGCGATTAGTCAAAACTTTACGAGCGAGTGTGCTTGGGCCTAACGTGAGCAACAATTTGCAGCAACTTCATCAAACGTACTAGAATGTCCACACGCACATTTGTATAGGGTAAGCACAAATATGCGCTCAGGCATACACATATACAAACATACACAAGCAAACATGTTTATATACACACATACCCCCTCCCCCCTCCCCCCACACACACATAATGACGTATTATAAATTATCATAAATGCACGTTCGGCAGTACACACACACACACACACACACACACACACACACACACACACACACACACACACACACACACACACACACAGATAGAGAGAGAGAGAGAGAGAGAGAGAGAGAGAGAGAGAGAGAGAGAGAGAGAGACACACACACACAAACAAACAAACACATATCCATAAACTAATCCACACTCATACATAGATCCACCCACCTGGCTTCTGCTTGAGCGGGTGGAAGACGTGCACGTCCATAGGCCTGTGAGTGACGTTCCACAAGATCTCATGGTTCTCCCCTGTGTATTTATTGGCTCGCTCAATGCTCAGATGGTTCCAGTCGGTCCAGTACATGTAGTCCTCAAACAGCGAGATAGAGAACGGGTGGGGCACGCCCTCTAACACGATGTGGCGGTGACTGCCGTCCAGATCGGCGTACCTGCAGATTGAAAACGGCAAGTCGCGTGAATGGTAGTGTTGAGATGCCAAAGTGTAGCCACGTTGCATGTCCACACCCTTTGAGAAAAACAACCACACACTGCATGAAGCTGAATAAGACTTCTAAGGTAGTTGGCAGGTGCTCTGGTGTGGTTTGCTATTTCTTTCCTATTGAACATGTATTGTCCTTATCCATCCTCCTTTTGTTCGTATGTTACTATCTCGTAATACCTCTGGTCTTCGGCCCTTATATGACCTAACAGTGTTGCGAGGGACGTAAAAACACTCTTATTAAAACAATTAATACTGATATACCACTGAATGAGTTCTGAAGCTTTTACAGTATAACATATCGGAATGAAAACGATTCTCCAACACTTTATGAGTCTAGGGGTGGCTCAAGCATTTTTATGCCTACCAAATTCAGTCCTACCTCGAATTGTATTAAACCGTAGGCTTACCCGGTAGAAGTTTTTATTTAAAGTCTCTCCATCAGACTCCTGACGTGACTGGGCCACAACTTAGTTGTCAAGTCAGTGTCACAATCTCGGGAGGATATAATAAGTATAGTAATGCTGTGTTTCCCACACGGTCATCATTCACATAGTTCTCGCTCTCTCTCTCTCTCTCTCTCTCTCTCTCTCTCTCTCTCTCTCTCTCTCTCTTCCACAAGGAACAAGGTCTCAACAACGTGTCAAGTAAATTTATCGTTTGGTGTACTTGGAAAGTAACATGTTATCCATTACTGTTTTTGACATCAGTGGTAGCCTAAATAACAACTTCAATGTCATGTGATGAATTGGATTATATTATTATATGTATAACCATTTGTTATCCATCCATCCATCCATCCATCCATCCATCCATCCATCCATCCATCCATCCATTCATCCATTAATCCATCCATCCATCCATCCATCCATCCATCCATCTACCCACCCATCCATCTGTCCATCTATCTATCCAACAATGACTTACTCAATAATATCGAGATGGGCGTCTGCCCACCACAAGCGGTTCGTCTCAAAGTCCAAGGTGAGAGCGTTGGGCCAGCCTAGCTTGTCTGTGATGAAGGACGTGGAGAGGTTCTGGCCGTTCATGCCCATACGTCCAATGTAAGGAGGGTTGCCCCAGTCTGACCAGTACATGAAGCTGGAATACATCGGAGCGACCGGTATTTGTGAGATGGAATACTGTATTAATATTAGCGATGAGAGAGAGAGAGAGAGAGAGTGAGAGAGAGAGAGAGAGAGAGAGAGAGAGAGAGAGAGAGAGAGAGTGGGGGAGAGAGCGGGGAGACAGAGAGAGAGGGGGGGGAGGAAGAGAAAAAAGAGAAAGGGGGGAGGAAGGGAGAGACACAAAGAGAGGGGTGAGGGATGGAGAAGAGAGGGAGAGAGAGGAAAGAAATTGAAAAGAAAGAGAGAGAGGGGGGGTAATGAGAGAGAGGGAGAGAGAGAGAGAAGGAGAGAGAGGAGAAGAAGGAGAGAGAGAGAGAGAGAGAGAGAGAGAGGGAGAGAGAGAGAGAGAGAGAAAGCATATTTTATGTCAAATCAACCACAATTTTCATCATTAAGTGGAGGGCTTCTTCAACCCTCCCATAAGGATAGATACAGGATAAAACAGACCGCAGACCACCTTACGTAGGGGAATGAAACTGCCGATGGACAGACATGGGAGTCACGTACCCGGCAGAAGATATTCGGAGACGTCTCGGGCGTGCTCCCAGGTACTATTCAGAGACCCCCTAGATTTTTGGGGTTGGTCTAGAGGAACAATGCAATTTGATTGGTTTATCTCCGTGGGAGATGTCTCAAAATAGATACTGCGCACGTACCCATTGAATGGATTCACAGCAATGGCTCTGGGCCTCCGGATGCCTTCTTTGAGCAAGGTCAGCTGATTCGTGCCATTCATCTCGGCCACGCTGATCACTGACCGCCGACCATCTACCCAGTACAGCTTTCTGTGGACGATGATAGAGAAAGATACAACGTTAACACATACAGACTGGAATTCGTCATTATTAGTTGACCTTTACCAGAACAGTTGTCTCCGTTTCCCAGTACTGCCGAGCAATTATTGTTGTTGTTGGTCTTTTTCTTATTACTATTATTAATTATCATTATATTAATATTATCATTATCATTATCATTATTATTATTATTATTATTATTATTATTATTACTATTATTATCATTGTCATCAACATCATTATTATTATTTACTGAATCCGTATCATTATCATTATTATTTTTATTTCATTATTATAATAACAGAATTAAAACAATTATTGTACCATTGTCATAATCATTACCATCATCATCATCATCACAACCATCATCATCATCATCATTTCTATTATTATTATACTACTCTCACAGCATGAGGAGCCTGCCCTTTGCCCACCCACCCACCTTGCAATCCAGTCGACGGAGAGACCCTCCACGCTGGGCACGTTGTTCTTGCTGACCACCTTCTGGCGCGTCCCGTTGAGGAAGATGCTGTAGATGCGGTGTTTCTTCACATCCGTGAAGTAGATCGTATCCTGGGCGATGTCGAAGTCAAGGGAGACAATGTTCTCAAATCCCTGGGCGATGCGCCTGTGGTTGTCTCCCTCGGTGGAGATTTCTCGTAGGTAGTACCGGTTGGTGAAGATAAGCCATGGGGTGATTTCTGTAATTGTAATTAGTTACTGTTTTACGCCTCTGACAATGTAATTTAGATCATGTAGAGGCCCTCATGCTACGAGCCTTCCTTTGAGGGTTGACACTCTTTTTTTCTTACATATGAAGAAACAGTTGAACAAGCAGACGCATATACATGCATGCATACATATATACATACATATACAAACATACATACACACACACACATTCACAAACACACACAGACAGACAGACAAATAGACAGACAGACATACATGCAAACACACATACAAACATACATACATACACACACACACACACATAAACACATACACACACAGACACATACACACACACACATACACACATACACACATACACACACACATACACACACACATACACACATACACACATACACACACACACATACACACATACACACATACATACATACACACATACATACACACACAGACAAACAGACAGACATGCATGCATGCATGCATGCATGCATACATGCATGCAGACAGACAGACAGACAGACAGACAGACAGACAGACATACATACATACATACATACATACATACATACATACATACAGACAGACGAACACTAGTGAGTGAGTTTTCTCACATACTATTATACATTCGCGTCACACACACACACACACACACA